AGCTCCAATCGCCCTGTTATCCAGCTAAACATGCTAGCAGATCTTGTGGCTGACATCTGTACATTTTGTGAGAATGATGAACCAGTGGCTTTGCATAGTTTTATCGGAAGAATCTAGACTAAATCTAATCTTGAGTGAGCTGGCAGGCTAAAGTGGTTAGTCACCTGACTTGCACACAGGAGGCCCTGGTTCGATTCCCCTCTGGGGGGGGATGAGCTGCCAGTGTGGGTCCTAAGGCAAGATCCTTTTACACTAACTGTGTCACTTTGGATAAAAGGGTCTGCTTAATTCATAAACAGAATCTAAACCCTCAGTGCCTAACCTTGCACTACCACTCTGGATGTTTTAAGAAATGCAACATTGATAAAAGTATGTATAAATAATAGTATAATAGAGTATTTGAACTTTGCAAAGAAAGAAGAATTAAAACCTAATTATAAAATGTATACTCTTTAAAATACAAAACTTTTTTTAATGCTTTTATCACTTTATAAATTTTGTAATAAAAATATATGCCAGACTCAGACTACAGATTATATCGTAGGAACTATTCTATCAGTATAAGTTGTTCCTTAAGGATAAACATCCAGGACAGAACACTTGTGGTCCATTTTTGATCTTACTTTAATATTTTTATCAACATTTTCAATTTATTAGTGCTCTCTTGACAAAATGTGATCAGATTCAGCAGCAAGCCCCACTAAACTTATTTTACGACCTCATAGAACTTGGTAATTGCCCCTACTGCTTAAAAAAAACAGCAAAATGTTTTTTTTGTTTTTTTTTACAGAGCTGAAAAAGTAACACATCTGTGTCCAGGTGAAACACAGCCAGGGTAATAGATGGCCGGGTTCTCTGCGGCCAAACTAACCTCAGCTCAAAACCTGCTGAGCCAGTTCCAGCCAGCTCTATGCAGCTTCTCAATCCCTGTTATGGAGACAGCCGGCTAAATTATTCACTGCTTCAATGAAAATTCCTCCAATATTAATAAGGTCTCCTCTCCATATTCACACAGGGAGTGTGTACATGTTTGGATGGGTGTGCATTTATGGTTTGTTTATCCTTAAAAACCTTCACCCCACCCTGACGTCATGCCAGACTGATTATTGGAGTTGTGCTGCTGCCTGGTTTTATCCTTCTGGTTTAAAGCTGTGAAGCAGCCACATTGGGAATGTTGATGGAATTATCTGGCATTGTCTGCCCCAAACAAAACATGGCCTGACCACTTCTCTTTCTCCTTTGTTTTCCCATGTTTTTTTGCTGCATGACACAAAATGAGTATGAGGCGGACACTGTGAATATCTTCCCTAACAGTGAAAGGAGCAATGCTGCTGCTGTGTTGTCATTTATGTAAGCAGTTAGTCAGATATGGTTACAGCCCTCTGAGCACGCCTTGAAAAATAAATCACGGCTGTTGGGTTAAGCAGGAGCAGAGGGTTGCTGCTGGAATCGTGCTGACAGAGAAATTCATTCAGTTCCAAAAATCTATCTGTGCAATTACCAATGTCAGCATCAAACCAGAGAGCAGGGTTCTGTCTGCCGCCGGCCCACCTCCCTTTCCCCTCCCCGCTTTGTCGTTCTGTTTACCACGCACATGACTCAGTGACCTTTACAGAGATAATTCTATTACGCAAGCCGGGTAATTGTTCTAGATTTGGAGTGTCCAAGTGGCCCAAAGCTTTGATGTCCTTGCAGTTAAAATAAATCTCGGTGGCATTAACGAAACCTGTCAGGGGAGTGGGAGAAGTAATCATAAAGATAAGGACGGAAAAAGAGGGGAAAATGAGGATGACACTGAGCCAGAATCAAATGGGATAGAAATGCTGTTTACGCCCCCCTCCCAATTTTATTGCAGCACAGAGTCGCAGCGTGCTCAAGACGCTGTGAGCGGCGCCCAAAATGGCCATGTTTGCTGCAGAGATCCCTTCTAATATTCTTTGTGTCTTGAAGAGTGCAGTCCAACGTGCGGGCTGCAGAGGTCCACAAGAACAAATCAAGGCTGAATAGACGACCTGGAACCTGCTGAGGTGCTTTTTACATCCCCTACTCCCACAGACCTGTTAGCTACAAAGGCTCAGTGCTAACAATGGGCAGAAATGAAACTTCGAGCAGCGTCTCTTGCAGATGAGTTCACTTTTCCTTATTCAAGTTCCTTCATTTGGACAATGACTGAGTTAGAGAGGGAGACAATTACTAATATTTGCTGCCAGCTATCAGAGAGAGAAAGGCCGAGAGATACAGAGGCAGGAGCTCCATTTCCACATTGTTAATTAGAAACTCTCCCTCAGCCCTGCGCTTGCAGCATTAAATAAGTCACCCAGCTGCACTGAGCACACACCTTTTTTTTTTTCAAATCTAGCTACTTCACCGGGGCAGTAAAACTGTTGGCAATAAGACAGACATTGGAGTTTGCATCATGCAAGAAATTGCTCCTTTTTTTTAATAATCATCAAGTACAATTGTTGAAAAGGTAATGCATTTATAGAGCTGGTGGGGTGGGGGGGTATACATAAAATAGAGAGAGCAACACGAGACAACGACAGTACAGGAAAAGAAATGCGAAGCTGATTTCATGCTTGGGGAATTGCATCTCATTTTTGCTCAGTGTGTAGGCACAGTGTGTGGGCTTGCTTGTGTCTTTACTGCCACCTGGTGGTGAAATAAAACCTTGCAAGCAGAGACCATTGCTGCATTAGGAGGCTGGTACTGTACAATCCAGGATTAATCAGCTCAGGTAAATGTAGGACTTAATTTAAATGCGAACCACTCCTATAGTCTTGACTTTTCCTCTAGTAAAGTTTACTTGTCTCTATGTCAATATCTAAGAATCTATTCAATATACCGATATATGATTTGATAGTCCAACATCTAACTCCCTGTAAAGAGAAGGATCATTTGAGACCTATAGCTAGAATGTCATAAAAAATAGGAAATAACTGTTTTTTTTTTTTCTTTATCAGTGTTACAACACCTGTACTGTATTCCAAGCAGAGATAAGTCTGGATATCTTAGCAGATCTAAAATTAATAACACCACTCTATTCACTGCTGATGAAGTCTTTATTAATTCACCATGATGTGGATTAATAAAGGCTCCTCGTCACTAATTAAAACCCCAACATCTCTAATCTAAACACCATGTGAGAGTTAGAGTCAGTTACTTTCCGAATGTTGAAATCTAAAAAAAAAAAAGAAGAAAAAAAAAGTACTAGCATTGGAGAGGGAGGGAACAGAGACAATAAACTGAGATAAAAAAAAAAGATATAAAGTCAAACCCAGCAGCCAGCTCTGACATCAGAAAGGTTGGATGATTAGCGGATGCTGGCGCTCGCAGATAGCAGCTCTGCTAACAGCCTCTACCACCTCATTAGTCGGGCCCAGCAGCACTGTGCCCCCTCCATTAAATGCTAAATGAAAGACCGCCAAGCATGATTACCGAAGGGGAGTCCCCTGTCGTCATGGGGATAAGACATCCCAGCTCACACACACACGACTACACTTTTTACTTCTCCTGTGATGGACATTTAGTAGATGGTAGTTTGCACATCATCAGCCAGAGATACAGTATACACCGCCAAGCATGAAGCCTAAAGGCCTGACACTTAAAGAAATTGAATTACAACACACTTCTTTTCTTTTGGTGAAAAAAAACCCCTTCTTTTAACCCTTTTTTTATTCACAAATGTATATTTGTTAGATCTGCCAGATTTTAAGATAAGATACACTGAAAGTTGTGTAGTTTTTGCAATTTATTGAATAACTAAGGCATTTTTATTATCAAAAATAATTCAGAATGCAAAAAAAAAACAACAACAACAACAAAAAAAAAACTCTGAAAGTTACTCTAAAAGATTTTAGAAGATCTCACAAAGCTAACTCAGGATCTGGCAAGTCTTTGCTTCCATTTTACCAAAGGAACAACAGACATGAAGCTTCAGTGTACCCTGCATTTCGGGTAGAGGACAACCGTACTTCCTGTTCAGAAGTGTTTCTGTAATAGGTATGCTTACCTAGATTTGTATGTTTGAAAGTAATGCATTCTATTTGCATATGGAAAGAATTTTATAGTACAGTAAACTCAAAAATATCCCTAATTTGATCTACTCGGAAAGTTTGCTGAATAAAAGTATACCAACATTTTCTGCTGAAGTGTTAAAAAAAACTGTTGCTTTAAATAGTTGCAGCAGAATGCTGAGAAGCAAGCCTTTGAAAAGTCCAGCAGTACTCACGGTCGTTGCAGTGGGTGCCTGTGTATGATGTCATGGAGCAGTCGCAGGTGAAATTCTCCCACTGCTGTATGCAAACTCCCATGTTAGCGCACGAGTCATCCTGGCAGGTGGTGCTTGGGCCTGGAGAGATGAGAAAAGCAAAAAAAGAGATACCACAGGTATAAAGTCAGGCAATGTTTAAGGCAGCTGACCGTAAAGAAAGAAGGACCCATGCAGAGGATGTGCACTCTCGAAAGACAGGTTTACACTACATGGTCCTAGGAGACAGCAGGAGGATCAGACAGTGCCACCACAAGAAGCCCAACCTGAGTACAGGGCCTTTTAGGACGGTCTCAGGAATCCCGCCTCATGCTGGAGTCTATAGGTGCAAAATCAATATAAAGGCCCCAGGTTTTTAACGTCTCCACAGCATGTTCTTTAAGCTGAAGGAGCCGATGCTTTTACTGTGATGCAGTTTGTTAAAACTGACTGAAAGCAGGCAAAATAATCAATGATGAAGAGCTGTTTTCGCTAAAGAGAGCCAGATCCTGGGTTGGCAGATGTGATGACACAGTCCATATCCTTTAGTTTCATTCTTTTTTATCAGCTATTGAGCCATTAGGCTTGCATGCAACTTTTTATACATTCCGACACGATTCAGGAAAGTTTTATTGGAGTAAAACTTCGAAACGCTGCATTCCCTCTGAGAACAAGCAAGACGAGACGCTAACAGTTAAAAAAAAGAACCTCTGCGGTTAACAATAGCCATATAAAAATGTCATAAAGGCACATGGCACCGGTTGCATTTCTAAACATCTGTGTGAGAATACAAGATGAACAATAGATCCACCAGACAGACAGAAGTCATGAGGAGAAAAAAAAAAATAGAAATATAAAGCACTCAAGAACACATGGCACATATCTCTATGTATGCACCAGAGCCAGACGAGAATCAAGGAGGGTATTCAAAGTCAAACCGGATGTGTGTTTGCTATTCCTCACACCACACATAGCTCTCACTTTTGAATACTTCTAGGGAGAGGGAATGCAGATAAGAACAAGTGCACTGCATAGATAATGAGATCAACAATCTGGCATTAATAGTCAGTGCAGACAACAGAGAAGAATCTCGACAGTAATACCTCTAATAATCAGATACAGTAGGAAACAAACCCAATTAAAAGAAAAAAACAAGCTAAAAGTAAAAAACAAAAAAAAATGAAAGTAAACTTTGTTTAAGAGCAGTTGTTTTGTGCAAGACGACGTGAAGAGAAGAAAGGGACATTTTAAGTGAAAAAGAAACAGAGCAAGTTCGCCAGCTGAAAGTGCATTTACTGTGTAATGTACTGCAATGGTAGTCAACCAGGCACCCTGAGTGCTGTGCACGTATATGTTGTGTTTATATCAAGGCAAATGGAATGTGTGCATTCCAGTGTTGGAGCAGGAGACTCGCTGTCTTGGAAAAAAACGAAACAAAAAAAGACCCCTGGCAGCAGATATGATACAGTTTTATATCTAAGGCTTGATGCTGAAACAGCACAGTGACAGATTAGATGTCCAGCCACAGCATCTTTATGCTGACTGTGATGCCCTAGAGTGTCACAGCTTGCCTTCAGCTGCTTTAAAATTCTTGCAGCTGTTTTTTACAGCAGTTTCAGGCTATAATGAACCCACATTACCATGATGACCTGATTTGCTTCCAGTCCTTGCTTACAGAATTGATGCGGATATTGCTGTACTTTCTAAATAGGACTGTACCCTTTGTCTGACCATGTAGGTATAAACCAGAAATTATCTGCCAAATTAATATCTAGTTTTACCCTATCTAAGGTATTCACACCCCTTAAGCTTTCTCATAAATTTGTCATATAAACAATTTCAAACCTCAAACAAAACTGAAAAACACAAATCGGACTTCTGGACCTCTGAGGGGTCAACCGCATCTTGTTGGCCTTGTTATCTTGCTATGGACTTGTAAACCAGGTTAGTGACTCGCATTCATAATCTTCCTCCGTTAGATTTATATGGTCATTAACCTGTGTTTTCCTCTCTCCAGAGTTTCCTGCCTCAGATGCCCTTGCCGCTGCTACCACCGATCGGTTTGTTTTTAATAAACGCCTTTTGAGTAATCCGACTGTCTTGCCTGAATACTAGGTCCTACTGTTCTGAACCGTGACAATTTATCTTCAAACTCGATCAAATTAAAGCATTACATTTAAGATAACAAAGATTCTCAAATGGATTAAGGCCTGGAATTTAAGTAGGAGATTCTACCATATGAATCTGCATTGATTATATGTACGGCTCGCTTTAATTTGCATAAAAGATGTATCCTGCAACACAATGAATCTCTGCCTTATTATAAAGTCTCTATCAGTCTGTAACAAGTTTTATTCTAAAGTTGCCCCTGGATTTACATCAATCCATGTTCCCAGCTTAAAAACGTATATACATAATAGATGCTGCAACATTTAATTGATGCTTCAAAACTATCCAAATAGTAACAAAACGAGAGCACTATCTTGCAGGTTTTCTGTGTCTACCTTTAAAGATAGAAGCAAACCTTAAGTGGTCAACACGTGGCTTTCTTGCAGCATTTGCAGTTTGTTTTTCAATTGACTAATTAGGTTTCTTTCTTTCTTTTTTTATTTCTTTCTTCCTGCCATGTACTACTTTTTTTAGTCTCATAAAATCTTTAAAAAGTGTAGTAAATATTGCTGCAATATCACAAAAAGTGAAAAAGATCCAGGGGTATGAATACTATACAACAGTGTTCTATTCTAAATGGCACTCAACAAATTTAAAATAGGAAGCAATTATTTTCCTGCCTGCCTAGCAAGCTTTTTTTTCTTTCCACAGTTTGTTCGTATTGTTTCCCATAAGAGAGCAAGTCCCCACTGCAGCACCTGAAAGACATTATTGCCATGGTGACACCCACGATGCATTGCACACAGCAACCTTTCAGGCGAGCTGGCCTTCGAGAGGCGGAGTTGAACCCTCTACCTTGCAGGTCGGCTTTGGTGAAACCAACTTTGTTGGTGCAGAAAGGAAAACAACAAAACAGAACAGAACAGAGCAGGAAACAAGAGCAAAGGATTAGTCAGGCAGCAGCATTGTTAGTGGTCAGAAAACTTGTTTACGTTTGCCAGTCAGAAAACATGGGAACCTTGCAAAATAGGAGAGGAACTTTAACATTTGATGAAAAATCTGTGTGCATCTTTGAATGTATGTGGAGGTTTTCTGGTGTATTGTATTTGTTTAGGCTCACAACTAAATCTTTTACTGCCCTCTGGAGGTTATAGAAGTTACTACACCAACCAAATACACTGATATACAATTCAAGCAAAAATTATAAAATAAAAAGCCATATTAATTTAGTGCTTTTGATCTTTCCTAATCAAACTATGGATCACACAACATAAACTTACTTTTAAAACAAGAACAAAGTTCACCTGTGTGAACATTTTCTTCTAAACTATAAAGGTTCAACATTCGGCATATATGCAATCTGACTTTTGGTTAAATATCCCTTATAGAGTTAAATAAAAATGAATATTTTTGTAATAGTTTACAAATATTCTGCAAGAATTACTGTATCCCAAAATATAGTTGATGGTGGCAAGAAAATCGGAGAAATACAAAGAAAAAAAAAAAACATAAAATCACATTCATTAACATCAATAAGTGTGTATTCTCTTCTGATTGGTAAAATACTTACAATGCAGTTTAACTTTAACTTCCTGTTGGATATATTTCAAGTTCCAGTCAAGTTCAGGTTCAATAAATCATTCAATAAATTGTACATAAAATTCCTGTTTTTCCACTGTGAAAACTAAGGAATATTTGTATTTTTGTGGGTTTTCAGAAGTTATAGGGCAGTAAACCCTCTTGGCCCATATAACAGAAACCTTAATAAACAATTCTTGATTTTTTTATATTTTTTAAATCAACTCATGGAAAGAGTATTGTACTGTTCAACCTTTAGGTTAAGTTGGTAGAGAGCATGTTTTGATTATTTAAATATAATGAAGTTAATGACATCATCCCTAAATCAGAAAACTTAAGGGCTTAGCTAGTGTGTGACCAGGTTATGACTTTTATACTTCAGTAAGGGATTTGTACCTTCACAGCCACGCTCTATGTGTCCACTGCGGAAAAGCGCATCATTGATGAGGTCTGGCAGGCGCCCGTTGAGATCTACTGATGCCAAGCAGCCCTGGAAGCCCTCCCGGGACACCACAAGCTTAGGGAGATTCTGGTACATGTTGGGTCCCAAACCTCCAACAAACAGGTCACCTGATGGGACACAAAATTAGAGGAAATTATTCCATTTTCATATTCTGGGAGTGATGAAAGAATGAGAGACAGGACTGTTGATTTATGATGATGTTTTTCCTGTGTGGTACCTTTAAGGTCGAGGTTTTTGGCCCCGTTGACATTTTGGGTGACCGACTTGGAGTCGACTTTAAGAGTGTGTGTGTTGGAAGCGTCTCGCGTGATGACCACATTGTGCCACTGGTTGTCATTCAGCGGGTTGTCACTGTTTCCCTTCAACAGGCTGGGCCCGTTGCCCAAGTCGAAGACGTAGTGAATGAACCTGGCAGGAAATAAACAGCAGCAGATGGGCTGAAAATGAGTGGAAAAGCAGCCAATCTTTGAGAGGACTTCAGAAAGCCTGCAGAACTACTGATCAAGGCCATTTTGAAAGATTAAAGGTAAGTCTGTCTTTCTGGAGGTAAAATATATATTAATTAAAAAGAACTCCCTTGGATCTAAAGTGTCTTGCAAGTGTCTTTTGTTGAGTTATAAACAGAGATTTCAATGCATTTAAAATGTGTTGAGTTATAAACAGAGATTTTCAGTGTAATGGACAACCCTTTTCATAGCCCAACAAGAGTGTAGAGTGGCAGAAAAATATAGTTTAGAAAGTTTTTCACAAATGAAAATCAGACACATCATTTCATAACCTTCAATAAAATCCTTTGCAACCTGTTTTTGCAAAAAGTCCATCTTTAAAGGCCTCAGTAAATCAAAAGAGAACATTAGGGAACAAAACGTTATAATGAAGAGCACTGTAGATCACTGTAGACAGGTCAGTAGGAAAATTATGGAGAAGTTCAGAGAAGGATGAGGATATAAAACACTGGATTCGAACAAGGTATGTCTAAACTGATAACCCAGGCAAATGGTGCATTTGTTAGAGAGGTAGTTAACTAAGGTGAAGCCGCAAAGCTTTACAGCTCAGGTGATAAAATATATGAACAAGCCTTCTAAAACCTGTCACTGAAGCTGTACAAGGCCAAAAGTCATTTAATGTTGGCCACAGTCATGTGAGGGATGCAGCAGATGTGGAAGAAGATTTAGACACCAAAGGTTTCCTTCTCAACTTATATATAAAAACAATTTTACTGAAAGCTAACATCACCCTGACCATACAGGACCATCAACAAAACATCAACAATCCATCAGCTCCTCCATCTCACTCACCCTTTGACCAGTTCCACAGCTATGAAGTCATTCCCGTCTCCGCTGTTAAAGAGAATGAAGCCATCAGGTGAGGTGGTTTTGAACTGGAAGAACAGGTGCATGGTGGTGTAAGCCTGCAGGGTGGCCAGGCCCAGGTAGCTCCCTTTGGTCTTAAAGGTGACGGGGTCAGCGACGATGAAGCGCATGCCAAAGCGTGCGTTGAGCTCACAGAAATCTATGTCACCATTTTTGCACATGTCAATGTACTGCATTCCATTAAACTTGAGGCTCTGGAGAGAAATCAGCCAAAATTCATCTTTAATAAAACAGCTCAAATGTTGCTCAAATTCAAGCAAAATGAGAAAAAAAAAGTCCTGTAAATGTTTTGCAACAGCCCTTTATCCCTATTACCTGTAGGTGGCCGATAAAAGGGGAGGGTGCTGAAGAAACAAAGCGTTTTTCTGTCAAGATGCCTGTTTCCACGTTGCTGAACTCCAGGCGGGTGTGGTCACCTACCATCTGACCTGAGTATAAAAAAGGCAAAACTAGTTAGGAAAATAAGTGAAGAAAAATGACTAAATACTAATTATAACCAAGTCGAAAAACTCTAAACACTGAAAAGCATAGTTTTAAAAATTTCAAACGGAGAAAAAAAAATAAAGCAAGCCACAGATAAAAAGTAGGTCCCTACCTCTTTCTCAAACTAAGTGCCAGATATTTATTTTTGGTTGATGTTTTTTTTATATATATGTGTATATATATATATATATATATATATATATATATATATATATATATATGTTGTACAGGAACAAACGGTACATAAATAAACCTTCAAAGAAACATTCAGTGCCTGCAAACAGTTGTAAGCTCTTGTTGTATAGGTATGTAAAAAAAAAAAGGATATATACTGTATATATAGTTATGTCTTTCTTCAATTATCATTGTCTCAAACTATCATAATCAATCTTCCCCCAAATTCAAAATGTCCTATTGTGACAAAATCCACTAAAAGAAATAACTTTTTTAACAATAATAACTTCAACATCATTAAGGATCCCAACAATTATCTTTAAAGGGATAATATAACAGGCAACAAATAGGGTAGATGTACCTCAACAATCACATGTTGGCAGTTTACAAGAAATAAACTGTCAGTGAAAATGTCAAAAAAATCTATAAAAATGTTAAAACTTCAGCTTTAAATATCTCATATGAATGCCATGGGAGGTCTGAAAGATGGCAACAGAAGTAAAAAAGAAATCATCATGTTCACTGTAGGAGAATTACAGCCAAAATGATGGCTTAGGGTCTCCACTCCTCTTTGTTTCAAGAGCTTTGTTAACATCTTCACTTTGAGTGCCAGTGATTGTGGAGGCGAGCTTTCAGATTTGTTGGAGTGTTTACATGCAAATACTTCATTTTATAATTCTTCATTTGAAGTTGCAAACCCTTTTCTAACACCAATTTATTTCCAGTACCAATCTCTGGCCTAATATCTTGTGTAATGTCCTGAGAAACATGTTTCTGAGAAAGCTTGTAAATAGTGAAACAACTTAAAAGTAATGCTGTCTATAGGTGACAAACAATGCCTTAAATAAGTTTGATTAAATTAAAAAAAAAAAAAACATAAGGAAAACAACTTCTTTTATCTATCCATTTACAGTGATGTTGATAATAAACACCAAAATCTGCATTATGCATTAAAGACCAAGTGTGGCCCTATACATAAAAACACTTGATTCATTATTTGTCTGCTACTAGTGTATTCAGAAGTTTCAGTACCACTTTTTGGTGCCTACTTTGTTTTCTTTTTGACAATGTGATGTTACTGTTATTTTCTAACTTCCTCTTTGGTCCGGTACCAAAAGCTACTCTTCCCTCCATCTATTACCACTATTATAACACTGATAATCAGGCATTTTTAGCTTTTTTTCTCTTAAAAGATAATTTCATTGAAGCGAGGTTTTCTCAAATGATAACAAACACAATGAACTAATGAAAATGACCAAATGTTCTGCATTAATAACATGCTACATTAATTTTTCAGTAATACAGAAAGAAATTAGTTTTTAATGGACTTGAAAATGAAGCAATTGCTAAAATTTTCACAGATACAAAGAATGCATTCAAATAATATTCTCTTTAATTGAAGAAATATGTGCTTTAATCTGCAGCGTCAATAAATTAAAGTTGTTTTATACCTAAAGTTTTATCATTAGCTTTAAAAGATAATAAATTAACTGCTCTGCTTTATTATATAATTATATTTTCATGTCTTATTATAGTATGGATACCTAATTCCTCTTTACCATTTTAACATAATATGTCAGTTTATTTAGAAAAATGTAATTCTATCAAATCCTTTTCAATCAACTATCCAGTTTTAATGCATCACAGAAATGAAAACCATAAACTTGACTTTAACTTTCTGCTTGATGAAATTTCCATGAAAAAGTGGAGAATGCAGAATCAAAGAGGATCATAGATGGAAGTTTGCATATCAGGATTAAATAAGGAAATGAAAATACCTTCAGCCATATCGTCATCCACGATGAGTTTGAAGTTTTTACCGCGGCGGATCACTCGCACTGAGTGCCACTCATTGTCGTTGAGCTTTTGTCCGGCATAAAGAACCTCAGGTCCCTTGCCTGAAGATGAGGATCAGTTAGTGGAAGGACGGGGAAGGCAAAGGGCAAAAAACTAACTCATTTCTCCTTTGTTTAGAAATATAAAACAAAGATCACTGAATACTGAAGTGCATTGGTTTGGGTTAAAGCTGCAATTATTCAACAAAGATTTCTGTTTTGATTTTTGATAATAGAGAACATCATATTTATTGTTACACAAAAAGAACAAAAGCATTTCTAACTCTTTCTCTTTTGCTTGCATCCCCTTTAATAACATTTCCCTCTATTTTCTATCACATCATGTTGACTTAAAATACACTAAAACCCCAATAATACAGCTACTTAATAGCACCAGAATCTTAGAACTCTGTGGAGAACAAAGAGAACCTATTATGGGTTGTAGTCTGAATACGTCAGTACACTCTGAACACCTCTAGAGGGCAATGCAGCTCCATCTACAGTAAAAGCTTAGAGAAGCAGCTGTTGCATTTCCCTTTAGATTATTGGAAGTGACGCATTCAAATGGAAGCAGATTTTAAATCTTTATAAGCAATGATGGTAGTAGTGCTTTCTTCGCCATAATTTAGGATTTTAATTTCCTTTTTCTATACTTATGCGCGTCATTGGTTTTGTCTGAAGATTCAATGTGATATTCAGTAGGACCAACTAAAAACGTACGCTGGTTGCTTCTATCTTTGCTATAAGCAATTATTCTGATTTAATGTTCTAGCCAGAAGTTCAGACAAACATAATGGACATGAGTCATATTAATTTGGGGATTTGAATAAGCCACAAGAATGTGTTTTGTTTTTCCAATTTGGAGAAAGAATGTTGAATTATATGTCAATGTTAACTTTATTCACACAAAAGTAAAACCCAGTAAATGTATTGTAGAATATCTTCAACTAACATGGAGTCAAATTATACATACAGACTCTGATACATGCATTAGACTCCCCTTATATTTGGATACATTTTCCATAGCAAGTTGCAGAGCAACCACTTAGTTTTTATAGGGAAGATCATGGTAATATTGAGATAGGAAACAATAAATTGTTGTATTGCTTAACTTATTGTTAAAGTTTTGCCTTTGCATAATTCAAAACCACATATCTATCGATCTGAGGTGAAAAACTATGAGTAGTCCTACGTCACAATTCTATCCAGTTTGTTTTCTACTTAAATATGTCAGAAAACAGTGTCCAACCATGATGTTGCCACCACCGTGGTTGAGAGTTGAAATTTTCTTAGGTTTGTGAGTTTAACAGAATATTGTGCTCAAAACTGGGCCTTTGTATGGTGTAACATTTTTCTATGAGGAAATCTGTTTGGAGTAGCTACATACTTTAGTAAAATATGCTGAAGAAACTTTTTTTTTTTTGGTAGAAATCCTCTCTTAGTCCTTTGTGATATTAAAACAGATCCATTATATTGACAGAGACAGTAGTGGTCCAATAGTTTACACACTAAGGAAATGGTAAATGGCCTGCATACTGCAAAAACAATGTAGAAATGAGTAAAACATTTTTAAATTAAGTGTAGTTATCCTTAATTTGAAAGGATTTGCCAATGGAATGAGTATTTTTACTTAAAATAAGATAATTACATATTATGCACTTGAAATAAGACAATGCAATTATTTTGTTCTCATTTTGAATGTAAATTGTCTTGACCCATGGCAAAATGTGATTTGATAAAAAATTATTTCAAATATATCAGTTTTTTTGCAGTGCATATAGCGTTTTTTTAGTCAGGAGACTTGATCAATGCACTTTACACTACATTCGGTCATTCACCCATTCATGCACGTGCACTCACACAGTGATGGTGGTAAACTAGATTGTAGCCACAGCTGCCCTGGGGCTCACTGACAGAAGCGAGGCGCCACCGGGCCCTCTGACCACCATCAGTAGTGCAGCAGTGCAGAATAATCAGGCTGTGTGGAAGCAGCACAGAGGGGAGTGAAGCTAAAATAATACACCTCACAGACGCAGAGAGGGAAAACCAGCCTTTATTGACAGGCTTGAGCCTTGATGAGCTGAGTTGTTCTGTGACTGCTTAACATATTTTGATTGATCTAAGGATAAATAGTTGAGTCAACCTGATGGAACTTGGTTTAAGGATGGCTAAAGTAGGCTAGCATTAATCTTTAGGAATAGCCTTATCTAAAACCTGCTTTAAATTAGTAAAATATGCCTAGAAGCGTAAAGCAAAGCAGTTTTAGATACATTTATAACTTCCAAAAAGAACGATGATCAAATTTTGGAAATAATGTGGTTTCTTTGCAACTTGCTAAGCCAAATAACCTTCAACATTGGAGGGAGATTATTGCATATATTTTCATTTGTATGCATCATTTTATCACCTTGTGGATTAATAGAAAACCCATAACAAATTCCAATTTCTGTATCCATTATCCTTTTAAAGTCACCTTGTATGTGACATAAGTCAAATATAAACTGCACAAATAAACCATAAAAGGTACAACAGGAATATTAATGTCGATGGTGAGTAGATATAAATACTGACTGCACCTGTAAGTGACTAATATCTAACCAGTTACTTCAATATAAATGATGAATATTCATCCTCTGCGGGAAACATAATAAATAATCTCCTGCAGGGTGTTGTCTCAGTGAAAACACTCTTAATCCCCCTGTCTGTTCATTTTTCCTCTCTAACATTGCAAGACTGTGAGGGGAAACAAATTTTTCTTTCTAAGTAAGAACATGTCGTTAAACACCATCTGTAAAAGCCTGCTGATTTAAGTACTACAGCATGTATTCACATTGGGCAACTGAAACCCTGTATTATGCTGTATGTGTACATGTAAAACCAATACTCCTAGTACAGGCTCAAAGGGCAGACGTTCAGTTAGTTGCTGCAGGCATACAGGAACAGATTCAATGCTAACTGCTTTACTTTATTTGAAAAAAAGCCCCTTTAAAATATAGAAAGTATATTAAGCCTGATTTACAAGACTTTGATCTCTGCCTACCCCCCCACCCCTTTTAAACTGAGAAATCCTCTTATCAGCTCCCAATGCCACCCCCTCTTCTGCATTCATACATTCCTGCCTTCAAACCTAGAGCACAGACCACAATTAAATATTGACTGAAGGAGAAAAAGGCTGCAGAAGAAGAATGTTGAACTTACTGGTGTTACAGTTTATCCTGACACAGTCTAGATGGGGAGGGGAGAACAAGTGACAGATGAAATCGCATCCTTCAAGGTTACAGCTGCAGACATCCAAAAGCAAAGAAAGCCACCTTCCGGGGACGGACACATGACGCCAGCGGCCATTTTGCTCCCACATCAATTTGCAACTGGTCAATATCATTCCAGCAATAATCTAATGTAATCTAATAAAACTAAAGACAGAGCAAAAAATATCTCCAGAGCCGGTCCAACACTTTATAGGGCCCTTAACAGGGGCCCCACTATTATTAAAAATGGCCAGATCACAGGACAGGTTTTGCTTGTGTTTCTTATTAAACTATTGCACTAAATAAAATTTATCTGTAAGTTTGTTTCTCTGATTTATTGGGTTGAAAAGCGTTTCAATACATAACAGTTTTTTTATGTTTGTTTCTACAGGCATCTTCTGAGAATGTTTATCTTTTCTATGAGTGTTTTTAATTTTTTTCTGTGTAATATACCTGCATTTTAAAGATTCTCATACCACAAGAAAGTCAGAAAAATATCTTACTTTAAACAACAATACA